CTGTATAGTTCCAATTTTAGTATATGTGCTGCTGAAGCAAGCACAATAATTTTGCTTTTAAAATATAGTGATGGAGAAAAAAAAATTAAGATGCCATGAAAACAAGTTCTGACTTGTCATACAATTTAGAAAACCTGAAGATGGTTACCAGTGGTTTTTTGGTTATTTCAGCTCCCTTCCCCCAAGTATGTATTTTTCTTTTCATTCCAGGTAACTGTATCTTTATGCAGCCTGAAAGAGTAGTGGGTGTCATTCAGATAGTCTTCTCACATCTGATTATCTTTCCTTTCTTTTCCTGTAGGAGAAGACGCTGTAGAGGATGAGGCTGAAGAGAATCCCATTGTCTTAGAGTTTCAGCAGGAAAGGGAGGCCTTTTATATAAAGGATCCGAAAAAGGCTCTGCAAGGTTTTTTTGACCGAGAAGGTATGTAAACAGATTCTGCCAGTAAAATGGATCCATAGCAATGTTGTTTTCTAGTCCTTTAGGTACAGCTGTATACTTAGAAATGCTATATTTTATTTGCTATCCTTTTGGTTTAGTTCTTGCCCTTGTGGCCAGTTGCTTCAGGTTTATTTAAAAAATTGTTCCTCATTATTATAGTGGTAGAAAAAAAAAGAAAATCACAAAAATTCTTTTAGCTTTTCGTCTCATCTTGGAAAAAAGGAACTATTTTTTTCTTGACTGATTTCATTCTTCTAAAAAGATAGGACTTTGGTGGTAGGAAAATTGAGCCAATTTCTTATAATTTGTTATTCCCAATTCACCTGATCTTTTGTAATTCCTAACAAGGATTTTAATTTTATTTAATTAATTAATTTTTTATTTTTTAAGAGACAGAGTCTCACTTTATTGCCCTGGGTAGAGTGCTGGGGCATCACAACTCACAGCAACCTTCAACTCCTGGGCATAGGCAATTCTCTTGCCTCAGCCTTCTGGGTAGCTGAAACTATAGGCACCCCCCAACAACCCCTAGCTATTTTTTGTTGCAGTTTGGCTGGGGCTGGGTTTGAACCTGCCACCCTCGGTATATGGGGCTGGTGCCCTACCCACTGAGCTACAGGCGCCACCCTGGATTTTGACTTTAAATGATTTTTTAAAAATATTTCTACAGGCTCGGCACCTGTGGCTCAAGCGGCTAAGGCGCCAGCCACATACACCTAAGGTGGCGGGTTCGAATCCCCAGCCCGGGCCCGCCAAACAACAATGATGGCTGCAACCAAAAAATGGCCAGGTGTTGTGGCAGACGCCTATAGTCCCAGCTACTTGGGAGGCTGAGGCAGGAGACTCGCTTGAGCCCAGGAGTTGGAGGTTGCTGTGAACGTGATGCCATGGCACTCTACCCAGGGGGATAGCTTGAGGCTCCGTCTCAAAAAAAAAAAAAAAAATTCTACAGGGGATTGTTTGAGCAGAGATACTTTGAGAGAACATTTATGTGTATGTACGTGTATGTGATATAGGACAGGTGGTGCCCCAGCCAGCTCAGCCTGTGGCACAGCCAGCACAAACACCAGCGGGCTAACGGGTAGGCAGGGGGTCCGGTAGAAGGCTCCAGTAGCTGGAGGGTCCAGACAACTGCTGGAGAGAGGGTAGCACCTTAGGTCTCCCTCCCCTTGTACTTCCTGCTGCACTGGGAACCCCACCTTTCCTAGGCCTGGTCAAGTTCATGTAAGTTTCCTAGGCCTGATAATGAAAGGGATTGTAGCCATTCATTAACTGAGGCTAAATGTAACTTTAGAGAACCCTTGCCCCTCTACATGTAACAACTGAGTTCCCACTAAATGTAACAACTGAGTTCCTGCTCCCTGAGGCTAAATGTAACAACTGAGTTGGCTAAATGACCTCCTTTGACTATATATAGCCCTGGGCAAAGAGCCCAGAGAGAGACAGAGGGGAGCAAGAAAGCTTGTTCCCCCACCTGGGTTCTCTCTGCCAGGAACTTTGGTATTTTTTGTATTTTTTTTCTTTTCTATAAATAAATCCTGTCTTAACCCTGATCTGTGGTCCATGGATTCATTCCCCTAATCACTGAGACCAAGAACCCTTAAAGACAAAAGTCCAGTATCATATGTATGTGTAATATGTATATTTTTTATATATGTGAACTGGCTGCTGTCTACCCTAAATACTTATGCTGATAAAATAACCACTAAAGTTTATAATTTATAAAAAGTATAAAAACCACTATACAGTGAACAAAGCTATATTTGGAGAGTTGTCTGTTTCAATCTGCATTTGCTTTCTTCTCTGCCTCAAACTCATTCTAATTTTATTATCAGATGATAATCCCTAGGAATGAGAAAATGAATGCATTGAGATTTATTATTCAGTGTAGTTTAGGAAGTATTTAACCTTCAATCTCATTTTTCATACCAACTAGTGATTTTCAGATCCTATTAAAATTGTTTTGCCTTTTTTCTCCACAGGAGAAGAATTAGAATATGAATTTGATGAACAAGGACATAGCACTTGGCTCTGCAGGGTGAGGTATGTTCTCTTCTTATTAGTGTCCATTTTCTGGAAAGTGGCCAATTTCAGGCTTAATTTATGGTTATAGGCAACAACCCAAAGAGTAATTTTAGTTTTAATTTTAGGCTTTTCCTAAATTTGGCCCTGAATAGGTTAGTAACATTTATGATATTGGGGGTCATGTGGGATGAATGGAGGTAAGGTTTGAAGTCCAACCTTGGCAAGATAGAACAAGATGAATTGAGAGATTGAAAAACTATCTAAAAAAAACCCATGTTAGTTGTTTTCATGAGATTGGAGCTTAGTGCTATGCCATAATTCCCACCAAACTAATGCAGATTACCTGTGGATGATTCAACTGGAAAACAACTGGTGGCTGAGGCTATTCACTCAGGAAAGAAAAAAGAAGCAATGATCCAGTGCTCACTGGAAGCTTGTCGGATCCTTGATACTTTGGGATTGCTACGGCAGGAAGCAGGTCAGTATGTAGGAGTCCTTTTTCTTTAAAAGAAAAGAAGGAAAATTTAACATCAAAGGTAATAAAACCTCTTTATGGTGGAAAATGTAAACTGTGCAGAATATTTTAAAGTGTAAAGAAAAAAGTCCTGATCATAATACCCTAAGGTAGCCATTATTCATATTCTCCCAGGCCTTTTCTATGTATATATAGACATGTTTAGAACTAGATCCTTTAACAAAAAGCAAACCCTCCTCAGCTCCTGTAGCTCAGTGAATAGAGCGCCGGCCACATACACCAAGGCTGGCGGGTTTGAGCCTGGCCCAGGCCAGCTAAACAATGACAACTGCAACCAAAAAATAGCCGGGCATTGTGGTGGGTGCCTGTAGTCCCAGCTACTTGGGCGGCTGAGGCAAGAGAATCGCGTAAACCCAAGAGTTTGAGTTTGCTGTGAGCTGTGACACCACGCCACTCTACTGACAGTGACATAGTGAAATTCTGTCTTAAAAAAAAAAATTGCCTTACACAAATATAATCATTTACTCATACTCTTTTGTGACTCACTTTTTTTTTTTTTTGAGACAGAGTCTCACTTTCTTGCCCCTGGTAGAGTGCTGTGACATAGCTCACAGCAACCCCAAACTCTTTGAGTTCAAGCAGTCTTCTTGCCTCAGCCTCCCAAGTAGCTGGGACTACAGGTGCCTGCCACAATGCCTGGCTGTTATTTATTTATTTATTTATTTATTTTTGAGACAGAGCCTCAAGCTGTCCCCCTGGGTAGAGTGCTGTGGCATCACAGCTCACAGGAACCTCCAACTCCTGGGCTCAAGCGAGTCTCCTGCCTCAGCCTCCCAAGTAGCTGGGACCACAGGTGCCCACCACAACGCCTAGCTATTTTTTGGTTGCAGCCATTGTTGTTGTTTGGCGGGCCCGGGCTGGATTTGAACCCACCACCTTAGGTGTATGTGGCTGGCGCCTTAGCCACTTGAGCCACAGGCGCCAACCCTGGCTGTTTTTTAGAGATGGGGTCTCATTCTTGTCTCGAACTCTTGAGCTCAGGTGATCTACCTGCCTCAGCCTCCCAGAGTGCTAGCATTACAGATGTGAGCCAGTGCACGGGACCTACAGCCTTGGATTTATATTCTCTCTTCCTTTCCTTTCCTTTCCCTTTTCTTTTTCTTTCAAAATATGCTGACTTGGTTGGGCATGTTGGCTTACTCTTGTAATCCTAGCACTTTGGGAGGCTAAGATGGGAGGATTGGTTGGACTTAGGAGTTTGAGACCAGCCTGAGCAAGAGCAAGACCCTGTCTCTACCAAAAATAGAAAAAGTTAGTCAAGTGTTGTGGCTGTATGTCAGCTCCTCAGGAGGCTGAGGCAAGATGATTGCTTAAGCTCAGGAGTTTGAAGTTGCAGTGAGTTGTGATAATGTCACAGCACTCCACTCAGGGTGAGAGAGTGAGACTGTGTGTCAAAAACAAAAATAAAGGCTCAGTGTCCAGCACACAGTGGGTAGGAAGTCAGCTACCAGGGCTGGCAGGTTTGAACCCACCCTGGACCTGCTAAAAACAAGTGTGGCTCAGTGCCTGTAGCTCACCGGCCAGGACACCAGCCACATACGCTAGAGCTGGTAGGTTCCAATCCAGCCTGGGCCAACTACAACCACAAAATAGCTGGGCATTGTGGCGGGCACCTGTAGTCTCAGCTACCTGGGAGACTGAGGCAAGAAAATCACTTAAGCCCAAGAGTCTAAAGTTGCTGTGAGCTGTGACACCATGGCACCTACTGAGAGTGACATAGTGAGACTCTGTCTCAAAAAAAAACCAAAAAGACCTAAAATTAAAAAAATAAAATCAGCTGACTTTAAGATCCATATTCTCTTAACTTCCTTGAAAAGAGAGTCTCTTTGCCCCTATGAGGTAAAGATTCTTACTGATTTTATTGGCTCTGGTCACATGATTACCCCTAAACCAGAAGAAATGGAAGAGTTGTTTTTTTGTTTTTTGTTTTTTGAGACAGAGTCTCACTATGTCTCCCTCAGTAGAGTGCTGTGGCATCACAGCTCACAGCAGCCTCAAACTCTTGGGCCTATGTGATTCTCTTGCCTCAGCCTCCCAAGTAGCTGGGACTGCAGGCACCCTAACAACACCTGGCTATTTTTAGAAACAAGGTCTTGCTCTGGCTTAGGCTGTCACCTGCCTTGGCCTCCCAGGGTATGAGGATTACAGGCATGAGCCACTGTGCCTGGCCTCAAAGAAGTTTTGATTTGCATTTCTCTGATGATTAGGGATGATGAGCATTTTTTAATGTTTTTTGTTCTTTGGGGGTTTTTTTTTGCTATTTCTCTGTCTTATTGTTTTTTTTTCTTTTTTAAAAACTTGTTTCTTTATCAATTATTTTATCCTCTTCTAGTATCTCGGAAAAGGAAAGCCAAGAACTGGGAGGATGAAGACTTTTATGATAGTGATGACGACACATTCCTTGATCGAACTGGCCTGGTTGAGAAGAAACGACTGAGCCGAATGAAGAAGGCTGGCAAGATTGACGAGAAGCCAGAGACCTTTGAATCACTGGCAAGTTTTATTTATAAAAGTGGCTGTGGTAGATTAATTTTCAAATAAGATAATGTATTATTGAAATACGTTATGTGATAATTACTATTTTTCAAGTGGTAGTATTAAAATCTGGTACTGAAGTATAACTTTTGTGATCCATAAATTTAATGGTAACGAACAGCTTGGTTTTTTCCCCCAAGTTGTTGGGGAAAAAAATTGGCTTCCTGCTAGAGACTTTCCTCCACAATGACATTGATCCATTAATTAACATTCTCTGGATATATTATCTCTCACAAAAGAAAGGAAAAACTTCCAATTTAGGGCAATCTAAGGTGAAATTGATTTTAAGCTTTTGGCAGTCAAGAATGGAAGGAATGGCTCTGTGCCTGTGGCTCAAGTGGCTAAGGCGCCACATACACCTGAACCAGAGGGTTCGAATCCAGCCTGGGCCCACAACTGGGTGTTGTGGCAGG